TCTCTCTCAGATGAAAACTTTCCAAGCTGAGCTGCAAATTGCTTGTTACTGCAATCGCTGTGTGCGCCAGCGATGGTGCACAACAAACAACCCGCGAATCACCTGAATTAATGAGCAGCAGGGAGAGGCGGGTTTGTACGGGGTTTTTTTGGGTTTTTTTTTCTTTTTTTGCACTGTGCTAAACGCATCCTCCCCAAGAGCCCTGCTCACATTAGCTCTGTTTGTGAAGTACTGTACGTGGAGTTAAACACTTCATAAAATTACACTTCACGGAAGGCGAGACTGACGTGTCGGGTCTGGGGCCCAGATTGTGTAAAGTGATGTTTAGTTGCATAAATATTAGTTGGCCTGGAGCGTTCTCTCTCCCGTTTTGTTTTGTTTGTGTTTTCCTTGTTGATGGTGTCTAATAGGAAGGAAACAAACTGGCCACCCTTACTGCTCCTTTCCAGAATGCCTCCCATGAAGACTTGTCCCTCTACCCACTTCTGCTCCCCCTCCCCACTGGTTACTTCAGTGCACTGCTAATGAGCTGCATAAATTTGCATGCAAGGTGTTTCATGCCACACCACGGCGCCGCGGCTTGCTTCCTTGGGAAGAACAGAGGCGCTGATCAGATTCCAGGAATCTGGCTTCTCTCACCTATACACTTGACTTCCACTCACTTGACTTATTCGGCTGTGCCTAAATTGCAAGCAATGCAGCAAATGGGAGACAGCACACCTACTCCATTGCTTGGCAATCCAGGGCAGAAGATTTACTCACTAGCTTGTGTGTTAAATTGCCAGAAGACTTTTTCCAATACAGCAAACACTAAAAACAAACTGCTCTGGGAGGAGGACTGGTTTAAAAAAAAAATCAGCACATGCCTACCTTGGTAAGTCACATGACCAAATTTCCACACAGCTACAAATGCCTACCAGTCTGCATTTCTTTGCCCTGAAGGAGCTCTCCTCACTGCTCCACTGACAGCACTTTCAGGACAGCTGCTTTGGACTTGCTTTGCAACCTGGAGCACCTGACTTTCACCCTGGAAAAAGTAATAGGGCAGCAAGGTGGTTCTACCCTTCCCATTTCTCTCCTCCCCTCCCCTGCCCTGCTTGCTGTATCAGCTGGGTGCTGGGTGTTGTTCTGTCGCAGAGAGCGGAAGCCAAACACAGCTCACCAACTATGTGCTTGCCGGGGCTGGATTCGAGCTTTTCTCTTCTCCTTGGGCAGCTAGAAAAACGGAATTGCCAGGTTGGAATTGGTGGTGCAGTGTTTGTCCAGTTTAGCCAAATGAAGATTGTGACACCTACATGCATCCAAACATACATACCTACAGGGATGGGCCTGCAGCAGCAGAAATGCAGGTGCCTACCTTTTTGGAAGGGCTGTATGAGTGCTTGAGTGCCCTCAACCCATCAAGGCAATAACCTAAAATGCAGCCAAAAGCCCTCTTTGCACATTGAGATGGTTCCTAGCTTCCTATCTCCCAAATTGCCTGTGGCATTGAAACCTTGGGAATGGACTAAGCATCACCTGGCTGTCCAGTTTTGGAAGCTGCAGTAAGCTGCTACTGCAGGTGCATCCTCTTGGGAGCACAGCGATATCTCTTCATAACTCTGGCGAATGTACAGCATTGACAACAGAGCGGAAGCAAACTCAGTCCAAAATGTGCAGTCTCTGTTAGGGACTCGTGTCAGAGCTTCTACTTCTCTGGTATGGAAGAAGGCAGTAAACAGCATTGCAGGATACACATTGTAATTTAGAGGGACGCACTGCTTGTTGGTGAGTTGATGGATGCCAAATGTTTGTTCTGCCATTTCTGTGGCGACTGGCCAGGCTTTTAAGCATTTTCCTTTTCTGCTCACTTCACTCTGCCTTTCCCATCACTTTGTTTTGTCACAAGCCTCTTAAAATGCATTTTTCTGAACAGTTGTTATTGTCGCTATTAAGGAACGTGAGCTCGTCAAAGAGCCCCGTTGGCAAGGAGAGAACTCCTCGGAAAGATGCTTCTAATGGTGTGTTTATTGCCTCGCTCTCCAGTTAGCCAGCTAATCCCATTTATTGCCATTCGCGGAAATTAAGGGGTTGAAATGTTGTGGATTTGTAAAGGGATGAGAAGGCATGGAAAAAGAAAAAAGTGCGTGAGCAAAGAAGAGGCTGTAGGTTGAATGATTGAGTGGCTTCTGATTGGTTTCTTTGGGTGGAGACAAATGGAGTCCTCTTTGGGAAGGAGCAGAGCGATGCTTTACATTTTCCCCAGGTTTGCTTGGAGGAGCCCTGAGCACGTGACCAGGCAAATCAGATGCAGCCTGCTGGCCAGATAACGGCTCACCAGGCCCGCTCATCTGCATTTGCTGCTTGCTCTGGATGGCAGAAACGCTTGGCAGGGGGAATGTACGAGAGATGGACATAACACAGTGCGTAGCTAATGGACTAAAACTTTCACAGTGGGCTCATGTTTGCAAAAGAAAAGAAAAAAGAATTCAACTGGGAAGTGTTCCTGCCTGCTCTGCTTGGAGACAAGAACTGCAACTCCATATCCCTGTAATTCCTAATTTTGGAGGAAGGTCATACCTTGCTTGGTTTTGGTCAGGTGGTCGGATGAATGATTGTTCCTCCTCTTTCATCATTTTCCATTTGATTCTGGGTCTCCCATCCATCTGTCCATCTTAAAAAGCTTGTGGGGCTCTTCATTCTGTAGGACCCACATCTTTAGTAGTAGGAGTTTAGTAGGAGTGTGCACAGGCAAGCCTGACAACCCATAGAGACATCAAGCTCTTTTCTACAGGCTCAGACTGGTGGTCTGTTGGGCTGCCAAGCGTTCCCACACTTGGCCCTTCCACCAGCTTTCCTGGCCCTCTCTTCCCGTATGTGACAGCTAGCGGTCCAATCCAGGTGTGCCACACAGATGCAGTGTGGCACACGCTGTCAGTTGCCACGCAGCTTGTTTTCTGGAGGTCCTCTCACCGGCAGTATAAAGAATCCGGCAAGCTAAGATCAGGTCAAAACAGGTCACTGTCCTTCCTGGCTGTGAGAAGTAGCAGCAGTCCATATGCAAACAGATCGGCCAATTCCTTGTCATCCATGCTTAACATCCGTCAATTCCAATAAGATCCTTGTGTGCGTTCTCTTATCCACCGCTGCCCAGTCACTGGAATGCTTTTCCCTGCGTGGCAGACATGACCTTGAATGTGGTTTGCCTGGCTGAGTGAGTGTGTGTGTGTGTGTGTGAGGGGGAGATCCTTATCTTTTTGCCACATCTGCAATGCCAAGTCCCTCAGATTTGAAAACTGGACCCCACATGGAGTCTTTGTGAGACACCTGGATTGGCCTTTCCGAGCAAAATGAGTGCAGCCCACCAGCCATAGGAGGCAGCCGCCCACCAGGGGCTTAACAAACCGCCTGCTTTTGCTCCTTGCCTGGGAATGCAAAAACAGGAGGGGTATCAAACACCTGGCAGGCCATGATAAATGGGTGGTGGGCTGCCTTTTTTTTTTTTTTGGCTTGGCAGGTCACAAGTTATGCAGACCTTCCCAGGAGGCTCTGCGACAGAACCTTTTGTGAGTGCGGCCTTGAAGGTGCATCCAACGAGCCAAGCAGCTGCCCAGGTCTCTAGCTCTGCCATCTGCACATCCAAACATCTCTCATGGGAGAAAAAGCCAAAATAACATACAGAGGAGCAAATGAAACAAGCCCCCAACCATTGCGATGACGAGCTAATGATGATAGCTGAGCTTGTTGCATTTTAGTCCATGCAAAAGGGTTGAATGAAACCTTGCTTCTCTCTTCTTCCTTAACGCCTCAGAATCATTCACATCCTGTGTGAGCCTGAGAGTCGTTTAGGATTTTGTAAACCCCGGCCTGGGAAGGAACATCTTGCTGGTTGGAAGACGCTGGCCTGTCCCATCTCCACAGTTTTTTGTGTCATTTTTTTGTTTGTTTTTGTTTTCTTTTTTTCTTTCTTTTTTGCTAAAAAGGCAAGAACTACATCTTGAATTATTCCTACAAAGAAAATAATCTTGAATGATTGTCCCAAAAGACAGTTGCACGAGGAGGAGGAGGAGGAGGAGGTAACCACAGCAAGATTCCTACGATCAGTCTGTGTTGAGCAGAACAAAGCTCCGATAGATTCGGAGCACACAGCACTGTATGTGTGTGTGTCAGTATGTGTGTCTGTGTCTGAATTCAGTCAAAGTGCAGAGGGCTGTGATTAGGGTCTTGTTTTTGAACTAGAAAAAGACCTCCCCCCCTCCAAAGTTATTTGTTGTTGCTCAACTTGGTTTGATATTTTTGGAACCTGTAAGGAAAGCAGAGTCATGGAACTCGAAAGCAGAACTGGAAGCTGTTTTGCCCATGTTCTCTCCCCAGTACAGTCAACAGTTTAGCCCCCAGGAAAGACATTTTGATGGTTTGCTTCATTTTGTGTGTTGTTGTTGTTGTTGTTTTATAATCTAACCCCTGAACAAAATAGAAGATTTATACAGGAAGTAAGATAAACAGGTAGCATTTTTGTTTTTTTCTTTTTCCACCCCTTCTTCCAGCACTTCCCACACCCCCCCACCCTTCTTGGGGGTACAAAAACAACAGCAGCCCAATGTTCCTTGATGGTCTGAGCTGGGTGTTTTCGTCTTGCTTCACTCATGTATATTAAATATAAATTATGTCTTTTTTCCCCTCCATGTCTACTTTTTTAAAACTTTTTTGTTTGTGTTTTTCTACAAAATAGGCTTGTTTTTGTTCTGTAAAATTTCCTTCCCCTCCCCTCCCTTTAGTTCCACCTGGTTCTGCTTGGAAAATAGTTCTTGTTTTGCAATTATTTTCCATCTTTGCAAAAAAACAAAAAACAACGAAACAAAACCAAAATAAAACCCCCAAAACCAGAAAACCCAACTAAAGAAAAAAACACAACCAACCCCCCCACTCTGGGGGGGGTGAGGGGGAGGGAGTTAAAAACAGGGAAGCATTTGGGTGGGGCGTGGGGGGTAACGTACGTGGGAGGAGAAGGGAAATTTGCATCATGTATACGAATAGTCTATGTCTGGAATTCCCCCGTCTCTGTACCCACGAGTTGTGCCGTAGCCGATGGTGTGGGTGCTTTTGTAAAGACTGGTTCCATTGGAAGGGAATATGGTGTGGATGACATACTCCTCCTTTGCCCGGTGCGGGTTGATCGGTAGCATCTGCAGCCCGGGGCCTCGGATTTCCAGGATGGAGTTATCTTTCTTGGTGCCCGACTCGACGTAGTCGTCTTTCTTCCGGCTGCCTCGTTCACGTGTCAGCAGCTCTCCCGTCCGGTGGACGTACCAGCAAATGGCGGCCAAAACCAGAAAGAGGAAGACCAGGGCCACCGCTCCACCGATGATTCCTGCTAATGGCAGCCCGGCCATTGGGTCCATGTTTTGCTCATGATTGAGGGTAGTGGTGGGGCTGTACAGGTCTGCCGTCTCGGCCTTGGCACATACCGGGGTCTCATCAGGCACATATGTGCTGCCAGTCTCCATGGTGACCATGCAAATGATGTAGGTAGACTTGGGCTCCAGGGCTGTCAGCAAGTACTCGGTCTTGTCGCCTTGCACCAGGGTCTCTGTGATGGAGCCCAAGGCTGGACTATGGCCCAGGCGCAGCCAGCTGAGGCGGAACGAGGCTGCTGGCAGCATCGCCTTCCAGCTGATGCGGATGCTGTCTGCCGTCAGTGGCTTGACGTGCAGAATCAGGGCTTTGGCTCCCGCTCCGGTGGCCATCGGGTAGTCGACGTTGGAGTCGGGCAGCTGGATGCCTGGCCGCTTGGCCTTCAGGGTGAAAAGGGAGCCCTGCGGGGTGGTGACCGCGGCGTTGGTGGTTGTGGTCTTCGCCGCAGCCCCCGAGTTGCTCTGTGAGCCCACTTCAAAGCACTCGTCCATCTCGCTGGTGATGTCCTTGATGGCCATGCCTCTGACCTTATCGGGCCCTTGGCACATCAGCCCCCTCACGTTCACCACAGAGGCCCTGGCGTTGACCCAGTCCCGCAGCCACATGAGGTTGCAGCCACAGTACCAGGGGTTGTTCCGCAGGAGGAGCTGCGACAGGCTGTCCAGGTCATCAAAGAGGCCCTTGGGCAGCGTGGTCAGGTTGTTGTTGGAGAGGTCCAGCTTCTCCAGCTCCCTCATTCTGGAGAGGGTATTTTGCGGGATGTGGCTGATGGCATTGTCCTGGAGGTACAGCTTCTGCAGGTGGACGCTGGGCAGGTTAAGCGGCGGTGCAGCCAGGGAGTTCCGGACAAGGGAGAGCTCGCTGAGGTTCTGCAGGCGGCTGAAGGTGTCATCCGCAATGCGCTGGTTGGCCAGGAGGTTGCCATCGAGGACGAGGCGCCGCAGGCTGTTCAGCCCCTTGAAGGCGTGGAGGGGGATGGTGGAGATGCGGTTGTCGTCCAGCCTCAGCTCCTCCAGGGTGCGGGGCAAGCCGGAGGGGATGCTGCTGAGGTGGTTGCGCGAGAGGAAAAGCAGCTTGAGGCGGGTGCTGTCGGCAAAGGCGTCGTCCTCGATGCTGACGGTGGAGACTGAGTTGTCGTCCAGGTGCAGCTTCTCCAGGAGGGGGATGCGTGCCAGGGAGTCGCGGGCGATGGTTCGGACGTTGTTGTCCTGGAGGTGAAGCTCCTTCAGTGACCGGGGCAGGTTGACCGGGAATTCGTCCAGGTCATTTTCATAGAGGTAGATGACCTGATGGGAACGGATTGAGAGGAAATTCAACAGGGCAGCAACAGAGCAGGAAAACTGCACACACTGTTCAAAACTGTTAGGATTCTAGCATCTTCTGGGGAGGGGGGGGCTCCCAGTTTAGTCAAAGCTAGCGTGTCAAAGCTATCCAGCTCTGTTTGCAACCTGAAGCCTGAAAATGGTATTTTGAATTCTAAAACAACTGTAAAATGTCTGCGAAACCCAAAAACCTAAACATCTGTTTGATCCATACTTGTTCCTTGGCCTTATGCACCATGCAGATCAAGTCACTGATGCATCTAACCCAGGGATGCCCTTCCCGCTAGGGCACCTTCCAGATACATTGAGGCATGCTAGCTGGGGATGATGGGGGTTGTAGCTCAATACAGCTGGGGAGCACGAGCTTGAGGAAAGCTGTTTTTGACTAGTAACGGCGCTTGATCCAGGTAGAGGATCTTCCTGAGCCCCAGGTACGCAAACCTCTTTTAGGAAGAGAGGTTAGTGATTGAACCTGGGACGCTCTACCACAAGCTTCACCTCTTGTTTACGTTCCGGACAGTAAACTTGACAAAAGCCTGTGAGCAACTGTGGCTTAATGGCAAGTGCATGCAGAAGGGCCCCGGGTTCAACCTCTGGTTATCTTGATGTGGGGCTAGCAAAAAGCCCTGCTGGAAGACCCTAGAAGAGCTGCTGCCAGCCATGCTGACAATACTCTGCTAGAGCCACCAAGGGCTGGACTCAGTGTGGCAGCTTCCTGTGTTCCTACAATGCTGGACCTTTGGGTCCTGAAAAATATTTGCACCCTTCCTCTCAGTTTCCTAGAAAGAATGGAGGGAAACCTGTCCTGTTGCTGCTCTTTAAGATCCTGGCGGGGAGAAAAGGGAAGAGCTCATTTAGTGGGGAGCAGGTGCCCCGTTTCCAGCAAGTTCCCCCCGTTGTACAACCTGAACGTTGAGCTTTTTCTTCAAGCTGGGGGGGATGCCAGCATTGTTGATCTGATTGTTCTGCAGGTAGAGGGTGGTGGCATCGTCTGGAATGTCAGGAGGGATGGAGGTCAGGCCCCGGTCGTTGCAGTAGATGAAGCCATTGTCACAGCGGCAGACGGACGGGCAGGTCGTACTGTCAATCACCTCGCTCAGGAAGGCCACCAGACCATAGCAGAGGAAGAGCCAATCCCGCAGGTCCATGGCAGCTGCTGTGGTCACCACGGTGGCCGTCACCACGGCAGCCGTTGGTGAGGCGGTCGCCATGGTGCGGGGGGTGCTAGGCCGTCCCAGCGTTGGGCCTTTGGAACCTGCAGAAAGAATATTTTTTAGGTTCTTAGCTCTGGATTTGTTTCCGCCCAATCTGCAAGGTCTGGTGGTGAAAAGAGAGGAGAGAAAAAACAAACCTAACACCCCTGCTGTGTAATTAAACATGTGAATCTCTCCCTCTCTGGTGAAGACTGCCAAGTTAGGATTTAATTTAACTAGGGCTTAGCTCCAGAACCTGCTTTCCAAGGCAGGGTTCAGCCCCAGGATATGTAAAGCACGAGCTGATACATAAACTGTGAGCCAGCCAGGTTTAGCAGTGAAGAATGAGCGTTTGTAGAATGCCTTTTCCCCAGCACAGCAGAAACCACAATCAGCACCCAAGTTATGCGGGATTAGAGTGGGCTGAGCTTTGTGCAGTACGCAGTTTGCTCTGCCATGGACTGCGCTGGCTTAGGCTGCAGGCGAAGAATTGCCACTTTGAACTCTCTTCCCTGCCCATCAAATGCTCCCTGAATGAGAAACACCAATAAATGAACGCTGAGGCTACAGATAAATTAGGGAGCCTGTCTGCCATCTTGCTCATCCTGTGAGGCGGAAGCACCACACCTGGTAGCTCAGCACCCGAGAGGCTTGGAGGCCTTTTAAAACTACAACTTTAATTACTGTGAAAGCACCGATTGGATTTTTAATTGGATTTTAATCAGAGCTGTTCCCTTCCCTGCCGCTGGAAAGGATGTCAGGGCTAGTGGCATTGTCACAGGCAACCTTAGGCATGTGCTCCAGTCACCAACTCAGTGGGGTCATGTGAACTATCCCTTCTCCCACCTGAGCCTTCAGCCACGGCCGTGACAGTGGTTGCAGACCAACAGGTTGGAGAGGACTAGTCCATATGGACTGGACAGCCTTTTGTCATGCTCCTTAAGCTCATCTAGGCCTTTGAACTCCGCAATGTGGCGGAGTGTCCACATTCGGAAGCGCAATCTGTGCAATCCCACCTAGCTGCCATTGTGCCATAATCTTTCTCCTTTCCTTTCAAGACGGCAGTGGCAGAGGCCACCCCCTGCCGCTCTTTCGCTGGCTCCCTTTCAACATCACATGAAATGAGGCACGGAATGGCCTTGGGCTGTTTTCTCGCAGGAGAGTGCTGTGGTTCGTGTTGGCTCCAGGGTTTGGGGCAGGGGGGCCTTTTGGACAAGACACCCTCGGCTGGTGTCTTCCCTGAGTCTCCTTTCTCGCTGCCCTTGCTCGTCTCTGTGGCTACCAGTTGCCTTCTCAGAAGATAGAGAGCCAGTGACCTCTCCCCTTCCTCCCCCTCGTTGTTGCCTGGCCCAGAGCAAGACACAGGAGAACGGGCAGGTTGTAATGGGCAAGAAGAAGAATCCCAGGGGCTGCTTCTCAGTGGGCCCAGGCAGCCTTCTGGGTCTCTGGCAGCACCAAACACCACTCAGCCTTTGAAGTATGTGATTGGGAGGGTTTGGTTGGCAAGAACCCCAGTAGCAGCCGTTGTTCAGCATTGCGAATCTGGGCCCATGGATCAGAGGGTGCGAGAAATACTGGACTGAGCTGAAGGAACGGTGAGAAGTTTTAAGGAATTCAGCAGCTCGGTGAATCGGAATTTGAGTGAACTGTAGCCGCTTCCTCTCTCCCTCTGTACACTTTGCGGGTTGTGGGCAGGATGGGAACAGGGATCGTAATCCACAAAAGTCACTCTCTGGCAAAAAAATGTAACAGGCTAGCAGAGAAGGGATGAAAAACCTTGTTCCTCATGCAGCAGCTGCTTGCAGTTCTAGACCAGGGCAGAGGAAGGGCCTTCCTTCTTTTGGAAGCCCACGTGGCTCTGGCACGGCACAGAGGAGGGACAAGGTACTCTGTCCCGTCTCCACCTGCCTACCTGCTTAGGATTCCTTGTCACCTGCAGCCACTGTGCGAGGGCTTCAGCGCAAGCTCTGTTGCTGCCGTTGCACCTTGGTGCTCATGCGGCTGTTCGTTTTATGTGATGAAACAAAAACTTTACAAAAACAAACCCATCAACCAGACACACACACACTGTAGCAAAACCTCAGACAGTTACTACTAGAGGAAAAGCTGTCTGAGTGTAAGGAATGACATACAGTACGAGAATAGAGTTTGAAGAAGGAAGTGAGAAATTATCATCTCTGCTCGCTGTTCCCTGTGCAAACCAATGACAAACACAACTTTATCAGTATTCATTTGTGGACACTTTAGTGTCAGATGCACAGCTGTGACCAGATGTTACATCCCCGTGGTTTTGTCTGCATGCGGGTCAGCAGGCCTCTGTATTTCTGCAGCCCGATTCAAAAGAGCAATCTCCCCGGAGGGGGGAAAACCTCAGCAGCCCACCCAATCCAAAGCAGCCGCAGCCAACTCCACGGCCGCCTGTGCTCCCAGTGCTTAAACCTTCAGGCAGCATCTGTCAAACTGCAGAAAGGGCTTGCAGCCGACATTATAAATCCCTCTTAAGAAGAACTTTAAGAGCGGGAAGCTGACATGCAACAACCCAGCCGCTGGGGAGCCGCAGCCACAACACTGCATACATTAAGACGTGGAAAAAAGGCAACAAGAACGTGCAGTCCTGGTGGCCTTCCCCCCCGCTGCTTCCCCCCTCCTGCGCATCCGCTCATGCCCCCCTGCGTTTCCCAGGAAAGGCTCTGATACCAAAGGAATCGTGCGTTGACTTTGGCCACTGCTCTTTCAAGCACGCAGCGTTGTTGGGGGCTGGCCCCGATTGGAGCCCCCTTTCTGAGCGTTCTGCTCTCTGGGCATCACCTGCGCAGAACTCAATTATGCGCTTCCGCCTTCTTTTCCCCTTGGCTCTCCAGGTCTGAGGCAGAACGATCCAACCCTAACCCTGTCCTTAGTAAGCAAGCCCCTGAAGTTGTTTGTCTCCATTTCCCTTTTCTGTGCAATGGGTGTTATTGCCGGAACAGAAAAAAGTGGATTCATAGCAGTGTGGGGCTTTCTCCTTCCCACATCCTGGATCAGGAAGCCCAGACAGTTGCTGTGGATTTGCAAGATGGCTTTTGTGTGCAGACGTGTAGTTCTCTCTCTGCCCCAACACAAACAGCATCTGTGCCAATTTCTCCTTGTGCAGGATGGGTTCTGGCCTTGGCTTTTTCTTCCACTAGCTGCCCTGAACTTCACCCCTCCAGCCCCCATTGGCACCAGCTGAGCCCATTCCCTGATGTCTGACATTTTATTTGGATGGTGTGCCATATGCAGTTGAAATTAGAAGTTTTTATAGGCCGTCCACTACAAGCATCCTGGGAGCTACAAGGTGAGTGCAGGACTTCTTGGTGGCACTTCTGGCTTCCCTAACTTTTGCATTTTGCCAGTGGACACAATGGCCGCTACAGTGTGTGTGTGTGTGAGTATGTGTGGACATGTGGCACCTAATCAAGCATCATATGTGGCCCCTGGAGCCGAAAAACCTGTGTACTCCTGGTTTACTCTAACTCTGGGCCTGTAAACTTCCATTCCTAGACTGGTTTGCCACATCCTAGTTTCTGTACCCCAGAATTCTGAGTGCCCATTGATGCCCATGGGAGGTGTTTTCCTCAACTAAATTGCCACGTGGGGAGCAATTTTCAAGGGGGGCTGCAGCTGGGGAGGGAAAAGGTATCTATCTTCCCCACACGCACTGCAAACAATGAAGCTTTCAAAAAGAATGCCCACTGGTGCCACTGGGAGGTTTTTCTTCAACTTGGCTGTCGTGCAGGTTAGGGGACAGGGAGATTCCCAGGAGGGACCACAGTCGTGGAAGGAAGATTTACCTCTCCTTTCCCTGTGCAATGTGGCCACCGCACCCCCTTTCAAGACAACTAAACTTAAGAGGAAAAAAGTTCAACGAAATTAGTGCAAAGATGGGTGCCAGATCTTCTAAGGGACTAGCGACATTTCTGGTTTACACTTGAAGTTTTGCTTAACACCAAATTTGGGCGACGCAGTTTTGGGAAGAGAAGCAGGGCATATAGAGCCCTGGCTGTTCGGCACTGTTCTCAGCCAGTGCTCGCCTGGCCAGCTTGAACTGGTCACCCTTTTTGGGGAAATACATTGCTGGTGTGTAAGAGAGTAGACTCCAACGCCCTTGCTTTCCACCTCTGTTCTGTGTCCCGTCCCCCTGCCCTTGCAGCTTCCTCTCTGCCTCTCTTCGGATTCCCAATTACGCAGCACAACAGACCTTTGGAGCGAGGGGGGGAAGGCCTGGCTACAGCCACGCAGCCCTGAAAAGGCGCCTGTCGCTTTAACCACCTCTTTTGGCTGCTCTTTTATGCCCCCGTTGTTTATATTACACGGTTTATGTAGCCTATCAAATTAAGGCCAGTAAATTGCTTTGCTTTATGGCCTCGGTTTTTATTCTCTTGGATCTTGTGGAGAACGGGAAGAAAGAGAGGGCGAAACAAAGGGAGGCTGGAGCTGCTGCTGCTCCCGGCAGCGGAGGTGGTGGGGACGGGTGAGCAACAGCGAGGCCTGCAGGGGCGAGGGAGCCCTGAGCCCAGGTGTGCTCCAGGTTCCAAATGCACAGTGGTCTAGTTAGGTAATTCTAGGCTTGATGTTCTTATGGCGGGGAGGCTCTTTAGATGGTAATGTGGCAAGCTGTTGGGGGCCTTCCCGCTCGTTTTGCTGAGTGCAGCCCTGGACGTGTGCCCCACAGCCCTGCCCTGATGTCACTGCCGATAGCACCCCCTGCCCCACACTCCTCCTGCCACCTTTGGAGACCCTGCCTGTGACTTTGTAACGGTGCCTCCCTTCTTTTTGCTAAGAAAATAATAATAAAAAAAGAAGCATTTCCTTTTTGGCTCCTTGGGAGATGTAAAGCCCACTGCCGATTCCCTAATTCTACACAAGGGGTGCAAGGACTGCTCTTTGAGGCAATTAGGACATGCCCCATAAATAAATAATCATCTCCAAACAGAGGCACCTTTCTGTATGCCTTGATTGCCTCATCTGTTCTCCCTCTGTTGATTCATTCTCTCACT